ATTATCGGCCGATATTCACTGTTAATAGTTTGATCGGTGCTCTCTATAAAGCCCGATCAGGAGAGCTGGATCTGATCGATATGGACATAAACGCGAGTGAAGTATAACCGGACACGCGAGAGAGAGATCAGATCAGCTGCTGAGTCTGACCGAGACACGCAGCTCTGCATAATCACCTGAAGCCCCGCCTCTGTTTAGCGAGCTGCATGAGAAACTGACGGGCTGTCAGAGAGAGAGGGAGGGAGAGGGGAAAAGAGAGGATCCGTTTCTCCCGTGTTATTATTCAAAGTGAATGTAAACTTTTGAATAATGTACTTCATCTACTACAAGTAGTTTGTTTGAATGTAATAATTATGTTGTTTGTGGAATCATTTATTGAAAAATGAATCTGAATTGTTTCGATCTGTTACGATTATAAACTGAAGCAATATAAAAATGAGCCCCGTGAACTGAGTTTTAAACTGAAGCATATCTGCTCATAGTCCGGTAATGACCTGCTAACGGAAACTCTGCTACACAACTCTTATTATTATTGAAATATGACCGGTAAGTTTCAAATGTATCCGGTAAAATAAATTCTGCCCGGACATTTGACCGGCGAGAAAAAATCCTAGCGGAAACCCTGCTTGGTCTGTAACGTTACTTTTTTCATTAATTGTGAAAATGTCCAACAAGACCCAGAGCAGGTTACTTAGGGTCCTGCTGGGGAAAGACTAACAGGAAAACCACCTGAACCTCATTTAAAGCTACAGTAAAACACAGACTGTAAGAAGGTATTAAAACACTGAAAGCTTAAATTGAATTCTGGCTCTTTTCGGACTCATTTTGGGAAAGGCCGCTTGTTCAGGCACATTTGCGAAGGTTGTGTTCCTTTGTTAAGGAAAGTGTTTATTGAATTGCTATATTTAGACTACTTAGCCACCAAACTCCATTGAAGAAAACTGTCATTTTACCTCACAGGACAAAGGGGTAAAATTACTGCTCGCTCATGAACTGCTCGCCGGAGCCTCGCAGAGGAGTTACTGCGGATAAAGCAGACCCTGCACGCGATAGCAGACCGTACAGGAGGGGTAATTAATCGATCGCAGATGGCGTCGTGCTTGCGGACGGATAACAAAAAGATTAAACCTAAATGGGTCGCGAAATATACTTTGGCGGACGTTAATATACCTGGGCGGCCCGCACCAGTAAAGTATATGTGTGGGAAACCCTGTAGAGTCAGAAATGGCCGTCTGACAGCAAGGTAATGCCGTGAAAACATTTTAAATATAGCGTACATGTAGACTGATGGATGCTTTTAGGCATCTCAACAGAAGAAAGTTGCTTGGCTTCCTGCTGGTACTCCTTTCTGTTTCTCCAAACTGCCAACTATTGCAGTAGTAACTCATAAAACTTCACTTAAAAAAAAAAAAACTAAATGATTCCTTTAATGTGATGAATAAGCACAGCATAGGTATGCACCATCAGCTGTGGACATATTAGCGCTTCTCACAGCGATAAGAGGCGAGATTTAAAGCAGATTAACATGTGGCTCTCATCACATGTAGGACTTGTAGTCTGAATGCCAGCTGCTTTGTTGGCAGAGTAAAAACAACAGATATAGAACCAACCGTCAGGCGTGGTTGCTTTGGGGTGGAGAGGCTCCGACTCACCAGCACTTAACTCCACTTATGAGCACCAGGTTACGGAGAAAACAACAACAGAGCTTTAAGCCTCCGTGACTTGTGCGTGTGACATCTCTCCTCTTCATCTAATCCACCTGACCGCATCACAAGCTCAGTACAAACACACACTGACAGATGTGGGTGACACAAAAATAAGATGTAGGCCGGTGATGAGCGTTGATTAACGAGCATGTCAGTCACGCTGTTGGACGGGGACAAAAATGTCACTTCAAAAACCTTTTTTTACAGCCGATGACTTTAATCTGTGAGGTTAGGTCACAGTAGGCCTGAGACGTATGCTCACAGACAATACACTAAAGACAAGAAGAAGTGTGTGGGAGGGAATCTGGCTGCAGACAATGTGAATATTTTAGTGCCAAAACCCAATTTCACTTCTGTAAGCAAACCCATTGTCACTAGAGCTGCAAGCAATAATTGTGTATTTTCATGATCAGTTAATCTGACAACAATTTCCTACAGTTATTAGTGAAAAGTAAAGTAGTGAAGACTCCTATCAAAATATCCTGAATATCCACTTTACTATAAAAGTAAGACCAAGAAATGCAGCTTAAGTTTTCTTGACAGTTGAGAAGCTGAAGCAAGTATACCATACGTCTTAATTGGTAAATGCTATACTCCGAGTAAAGTTGTTTTTCAATTCCTTTCATCAACGCCAGCGTGTTTTTCTCATGCGTCATGACTGGGAAAAAAAGATCCAAAGGGTGGCTTCTTTTCCTTTAGAAAGATAACAGCGTTGCTTGTAATACTGTATATCTGTAAAGTAAATCATTGGAACTCAAAAGAGTCTTCACTGCGTTGAGACTCTGAGATAAGACAACAGCTGTGTTCACCCTAAAAACCTGTGTGGGCCTAATTTCCCAAACAGAAATGTTATCGATAAACTGAACCGTTCAGCAGAATAGATAACGGCAAGGTATAATCAATAAATTAGCAATTCCTATCCCTAGACCAGAAGCATTTAAAAAAAACCTAATCACCACTCATGGAAAACATAAGTACAAAAGTGCTTAAGGCTAGAAGACCACTTAAAATGACATTGATATTACATTAAAAAATGAAACTCAGATTAAATAACCTTAAAAGGGTGGGAACTATGAATTAATTATTTCCTTTTGTTCAGACATGTGACTGCTGCTTTAAGTGGAGCTCATGCTTTATCCACCTCCCTCCATCAGTGGGGCCTTACCAGCAGCCCCACCCTGCCTCCCAAGCATGGAGGAGGCATATGGGCCTGTTAACCCGTCATATCCCGGTAAACAACAGCAGGACAAAGAGCACATTTTCTGAAATTACAATATTAAAAACGCCACTTATGAAGTGCCTGTGATAGATGCATAAAAAGAGGCTCACAAGAAGGCCTCTTTAGCCAAATCGTCCCCGGATTAAGGGTGTTGGTTTGGGTGGAGAAGGGGGTGAATGAGTGGAAACAGGCCGGAAACAGAGCAAATGGTAAAGCGTGATTGATTTTAGGGCGTTTCTGTTAGTGTGGCAGCAATATGGAGATATAGGGAAGCCGACAGGGAGTGGATTCCTTTGTTGTGACTAATCTGTGGGAAACAGTGCTGTGCTACCAGCCCCTGCTTCCAATATCGGACATTATCATCACCCGTCATGCTGCTTTTAAAAAGAATCCTACTTAAATTCATCAACCATGATATCAAAGTGCATTTCACGTAATCTCTTAGCTATTGAATTCCCCAGATTTCACATGAATAAACTGTCATGTTACTTCGATATAAGTCAACCTGACACCGGACATGAGACATCATCGGGCGTGTTTTTTTGACCTGGTTTTTAGCTTTAAGTTACATGATCGTGATACCCAGACACCCGATACCCTTTCAGTAACCTAATTTCTTTGTTTTTTCAGTGTGTAACCTAGATAAAATGACAAAAACCTAGATAAAACGCCCTTGTCCGATAACAGAACTACTGTTAGCAGCAGCGTGTATAGGCACATAGCAGATGCTCAGTCTGACACAATTACAAACATAACGGATCAAGAATCCATATGTATTCATGTTAAATAAACTTGACTTGTATATTAGGTTAAAATGTTAAAGACGCATTTCAAGGCATAAATGGTGCAATAGTGCCACCTCATCCAAGCAACAGTATGCTTCATATTTGTCAAAACAGGTAGGCCTATAACAAAAACCGGGTCTAACGTCTTAGCTTATAAACCAATAATATGTGCAAAAACACCGATTTGTTAAATCAACCTATATATAAATACTGTTAAAATAGTTTTTTTCCTAATCACAATCACAGGATGTCAAACAGCAGGTTAGCTTTATGATGACCACCCCCCCTCCTCGGGTGTAGCATCCCTAGCTAACCGACTAACGTCACCGTGTCATTACTAAATGTTACCAAATGCGGAGAAAATCATTTAAATAAGATTAACCGGTGATTAAAGTTGGTTAAACCGACTAAATGGGGCGCTTTACGGTGATTATGCATCTTCTTGTCGGCGTTTTGACAAGCACCTCATGCTAACCTCGAGCAGTTACCATAAAAAATAACCGTTAAAAGCCCGTTAAACCGTTGAAACGCCGTTTACATAACATAACACAATACATGTTTGATTATCCGTTACAAATGCTTAAACTATTAATTCATTTCTTAGGTAAGACACTCACAAGATGCCGGAGCCGGTGGTTCCTCTGTCACTGCAGGTTTCTCTCCTGCTGCTGCTGCTTCTGCGGGGGCTGGGGTTTCTTTCCGGGGTTCAGCCGCGGGGAGGGCGTCGCTCTCCGGTTCAGGTTCTGGCTCGGGGATGGCCTCTGGCTCCGGTGCTGTCTTCGTGCTCTCCGGTTCTACTTTAATGGCGACAACAACTTCCTCTCCGAGCTCCTCGGCGACAAAAGAAGGAGTGTCTGGAACAAATGAAAAGCTAGTGGAGTCTGGGAGGATAGGCTCAGGCTCCGGTTCTGGTTCCGACACCTCTGGCTCCGGTTCTGTTATCGTTACCGGCTCTTCTGGTTCAGGGGTGACGGAAAATTCTGTGGACTCGTGTGGCGCACTATCTTCAGCAAAGTGGCGCTCCAAGGCGTCTTGAGCCCCTCCGACCAAGTCCACTATATCATCCACGCTGAAGAGGTCCTGTTTGGGCTCCACGTCGGTCTCTGGTTCGTAGTGGTGCGACTCCTCACTGAAAAGAGGAGTGGTGGAAGAGACGTGCTCGCTGTCTGCCATTTTTATTTTTACCTAAACTGGAGATGAAAAAAGTTTCAGGTCCGGAACTTTTGGGGGCCTCAGTCACACTAATACACCGGGGGGGGTGAGATGTTAAACCGCGCCGGTAACTTCCTCCGGGTACATCTGCTCCGTGACACCGGGTAAAGTTGGACAAGTGCGCCACACGACAGTTGAGTGAAGTCGGACCCGTGTCTCACATTGACAGTCAAGTTGAGAAGGAAAGAGGGGGGACTACGCTGACCAATTACCTGCGGGTTAACCCATGAGTGACGTGACCTTTGGCCAATCAGAGTACGTCAAAGTAACCTATAGCCACGCCCAGCAGGTGTCCCATTACCTCGCCCACGAAACCTCCACTAAAAGTTCACTCTGTTCTTCTAACACAATTTCAACTCCAACAGGCCACTTACATAACTTTAACATTTCTTCTGTAAAGTAACTCCTCCTGCTACTGTACCTCAAACACATGTCATACAAAGAACAGCAGAAGTACCCAGAAGTTTTACTTTAGCCATACTTTTTGTGACTTTGGAGTGAGCTGGCATTTTTTTACTGGAATAATTATACATTATGATCGTAGTAAAACCACAGTTTATAACTGTTACAAGTAAACAAGTTCTAACATCAAGCACTTGTGAAATTGAAATCAGAAAAACTAAGAGCTGTCAGTTAAAAGTACAATATGTCCCCATGAGATGTAGTACAATAAAAGTATTTTTTTAAACTAGCTGGAAATACTCAAGTAAAGCGCATGTATCTCAAAATAATGAAAAAAGGACTGTTTGGTATCTTAATGCAGCATACAAAAAGATTATTAGATATTTGATACTGGAGATGAGACAGGAAGATGATATTAAAGATGTGTTATACTTCAAATATATACAGACATTTTGTACTTAAGTAAAGTACATAAGCTCTGAAGCTCATCTATGTATAACTTTTCACCACGTGTTGCAGGTTTAAAAAGGGGGAAGCCAAAGATGACTAGTCACAGTTTCACAACTGTTTGCAGAGAAATGCTGCATTCAGGGAACCCATGAAATGCAGCTTGAACTGCCTACTTAGCTGTAATACTGTATATATCATTACCAGCTATACAGTACCTGTTACATATGGACTTTATTTAAATATAATACAGACTGCAAGTGCTACACATGTTTATTTCAATCAGAAACATTCTAAAGATTTTTTTTCAAATGTCATTTAGGCGGTGCTTGCTGGAGGAAATGTTTTCCTATGAAGACCTGAGGTATAATATGGTTTTAGAGCTACTAACTAAAAAGCGAAATGACAACAAGGTAGCCCAAATAAAAAGCAGAAGATCAATCAGAGTAATGCAGGTGAAATAAATAAGTCTGAGACTAATGCATGTGTAATTCTAATAATAAGAAAAAGGAACAGCAGATTAACAGATACAACAAATGCTAAAAACATTTTTAAATAAGAAAACAAGGATTTAATACATTTGTGACTAACATTGGTTCTGCAACAAGTTATCATAGTTAAAATTAGTAAGTACATGTCAGAATTCCTGCCTCTAACTTTATTTTGAAATGTTTTTTGTTCTGCAAATTATCTCATCTCTCTAGAAAATATTCTTAGCTGCCCATTTTCTCCACAACAGCTCAATAAAGTTCATTCTCGGAAAGTTGATTAGGAAAAATGATTTTGGTTGAAGCATGAAGAAGTGGAGAGTGAGAAACGCTCGGCTCCAGTTTGAAAGAGATAGAGTTACACAGCATACTGATGACAGGCGGGAGTTTATATATAACATGTGAATATATATGTCTGTAAGCAAATATGGCTGCTTCAACATATGATAATGTGAGAGAGGGACAGAGGGTCTGCTGATATATTCAACACTGAGCCTCGATGTTGCACCGATATAGTACCATGAACACGCTTGACTTTATTTTCAATCAAGCTCACATATGTGGATTAATCTGCAGCCAAGAAAAGGAACACATGATGTTACCCAAACAATAAAATACTTGTTTTCCTTTACTTTGGGAAAGATTTATCGTTTGTCTTTTTTCTAGGATGAGTTTCAGAGCAGTTTTGAGTGTGTCACAGAGGCTTTTCTCCATGCAACTCAATTGCAACTTACCAAAGTTTCAACCTAATAAAGGTGCATGAAACTAACTGTAAAGAAAGGTGAGTGCAGACAAACACACTCTAAAGTAAAGTAAGTAATGCTGAACGGCATTATACTAGGGGTGTCAAACTCAAGGCCAGGGGGCCAAATCCAGCCTGTGACTTCATTTTCTGCGGCCCCACAAGAGCTTGCAAAGAATATAATATGTTTATTATACGGTTACAGGCCGATTTACAGAAGCACGTTGCCCATAAACTACATGTCCCACAATGCATCTCAAATTTTACATTTTTCTCAGAATTTGACTTTTTTTTCTTCAAAATATGCCTTTTTTCTTAGTAGTTGCCTTTTTCTCAGAATTTGACTTTTTTTCAAAATGTCACTTCCTTTTTTTTTTTTTCAGAATGTGGCATTCTCACTGAAAAGACTTGCAATTATTTGCTCTAGACTTCTTCTTTCAGACGTAGTTAATTATGAAGTTATTACCCTATCTGAAAATAATCCAATGCAGAAGCAATAATGTAATATAATACGTTATTTTATATATATAAAATATTTATATATGTATTTTTATATAGTCTTAAAGTTACAACCGGCCCTTTGAATGCAACCATAATGTTAATGTGGCCCGTGATGAAATTGAGTTTGACACCCCTGTACTAGACCGTGTTTCTAATTATACTCTATATTGACATACATGTGGGGGTCAGAATAATGGAAACATCTGAATATAGGTTTTTCCTGTAAAATCTGACAAGTTTAGCAGATGATATTTGCACCATGAACTTTATTTTTTCCTTTTGCAGGCTCTAAGCATCAGAGACCAGAGATGTTGTCATTTGTAAGTGAAAGTACTCTGTGTCTCAATCAGATTTTACCGAATTCATTTAATTTCATTTTCATTGTTTATTTGAACAGGGACAATGCACATTAATGAACACTAAACAAATAATGCTTCAAGTGTAAATATGCCGGATTTTAGCTTTGAGCTAATTTCCATTCACAGTCCCTGACATACAACATGTAAGAACATGACATTTATAAACATGGCAAAAATAAATACATGATGTGCAAAAAGAGCAAGAGCAGCACACACAAGTATTTATGACATGGTAATACACTATAGCAGCAACGACATATAAGGTGCAAGAGGAGATACCCCTGTGTTAAAGTGCATTTAGCGGTGATCTGTTTGTTTCTCAACCATTCTTTGAGTTGACCTTTGAAGCTATTGAGAGTGGGACAATCCCGTATCTCAGTTGGGAGGCTATTCCACAATGAGCTGCCTTTAATGGAGAGGACATTTTGTCCAAAAGTGGTCCGTCTGCGGTGGACTTCAGTCTCCTCTGGTTTCTGACCTAGTGCAGCGTCCAGTGTCTTTTTGTGGTTGGGAATTCAACAGATATCAGTAGTTTACTTATCCTCTTCCCAAGGAATGCATTCATGACATATACTGTATGATAAACTTGAGTGTTGAGAAAAACTATTGTATGCTAAACAGTTTGATGTAATGAAAGGTCATCTAACGTAAGTTTACACAGCTAGCGAAGACAACGTTAGCGAACTGCCAATATATCTTACAAAAGCACAACTTAAGTTTAGGTCAGCTCATGTGTCAAGTTTTCCAAACATGCTTGATTCATTAAGTCACCAGGGAAAATGTTAATTAGTGTTTTTCTCAATGGAGTCTGGTGTCTTTGAACAGAGCAGACAAATAGGAAGGGCAGTCTGACATGAAGTCACAGCAGTTAAAATATTCTAAATGTAGCGGACACTTAAACTGACACAGAGTTTTTAGATGTCTAAAATACCTTCACAGGAGTACATTGCTTCACTTCCTGCTGGCAAGGTGACAGAACAAAACTAAAAGATATGAAGTCAAGATAGGATTTATAAAATGTTGGTATATTAACAACATGTCTGTATGTTCATCATCATGGGTCATGCGTAAAATTAGGTTATTATTCATGTGGGATTAATGCATGAGGATGATTCACCAACGACTCACTTAATCGACCAGCTTGCCAAAGGTCGCTCACTGTCACTCAGAAATCAGAAGGAAAGAAACCAGACCAACTCCACCTAATCATCCTCACTATAATGTTAAACTTTTATTAAACTCAAAGAGAAGGAATGAGGACAAAATGTCCTCACTTTGAAGGTCTGACACTCACATTGGTCCCCACTAAAATAGAAGTACAAAAATACCACTAGGGGACAGAAAGAAAGGGGGGGGGGGGGGATTACACAGCATTTTTCATTTTCTCTACCACACACACACACACACACACACACACACACACACACACACACACACACACACACACACACATCTGTTGACATTTCCATGGATTAAAGGTGTTGCTGTTGGTTAGGTATTGTGCAGAGCTGGCTGATGGGAAACACTTTGGAGGAGTGATGAGGCATAATGTTGGTGTTTGTGTCACGATAGTTAATGTATCATTGTTAATGTATGCTTATAGTGAATCCCGTCGAGGAGGTGAACAAAAGTTCCTCTAAGGAAATCTGAGCAACTTTTTACCCATGCACCTATCTGTGAAGAGGATGTTTGTGAATGTAGCCTTTAATACCCAGGAGTCAAAGAAAAGGGTAAGACTGAATCTGAAAAATAAAAAGCAGCTGTGTCATGCAAAGCCAGCATCGCACGCACACACACACACACACACACACACACACACACACACACACACACACACACACACACACACACACACACACACACACACACACACACCACACACACACACACACACACACACACACACACACACACACACACACACACACACCAGGAGATCAATACGTGGTGGAGCAGTTGTGAGTCAGCTGAATCTTTGCTTCTTTCTCTCTTTGTTTCTCTCCTAATCTTAAACTGTCAGAGAATACTTTTCCTCATGTAACATTTTAGAAAGAAGACTGTCGCTGTGGAGCATTTATTTAACAAAATGAATATTGCTTGGTTACATGGGGCTGGTTAGTTAAAAGCAGTTAGCACTGACCAGATGGAATTTGCTTTTACTTTGAAATACTCATCATTGCTGGAAAACTGCACCTGTTCAGGATTCCACCTAAAATATGTGTGTTTGATCAATGGGAAATGCGTGT